TATCCCATAAACGTTTTGTTTATTCTCCAAATGATTTATAAACAGCTAAAAATATTAATCCAATTTATGCTTGAAAAGTTTTGATATTTTTCCATTTTTTCCTTAATTTTGTTTTTTTTTCTTCTTCGATACTAGTTATTTTTCTGATTTCGTTTTCAATTGTAGAATTGAATATTACCTCAAACACAATTCTTACATCTGTTACCCTTGTCGTTGCATATCTTGCGATCCCTGGATTAGTTTTTAAAATATTAGCAGTTGTGCTGATTGAGAAGAATATGGCAGAGGGCTCAACTTCAATTTTATTTCACGATTCTTGGACTGAATACTCTCTTTACGGTTCATTTGTTGATTATTGGTATCAAAATCGTTGTCAGAACTTTCACTCTCAATATCATCATTTGTATGATTTATCATATTCGGGTACTTGACCTGAAGTTTTTTTAGCTATATCAGCGTGACTCAAATTTATGAGACTTGCCATTTTTTCTCTTCTATTTGCAGGCACAACTCTTTTAATGTATATCATAAAGCGAGATACAGCAGAAACAAGTAACATAAGAAAAAATTTTAAGTCAATTCCTACTTAGATCAGAAAAATTTTATTTTAGCTACTTTTTATTAAAAAGTTACAATTAATATAAATATGTATATACATAGGATAATACACATGAAGTGGTAATTAATTTTTATTAATTATCCTTAAAGTATCGTATTGTCATCCAAAACAATCGTGCCTATAAAATTTCCTTTCAACTTAATGCTTTAACACGTGAGAAAGTAACCTTTTCAAATTTTGACATAAGTCGCCAAAAGGATCGGTAAGTCGCCAACGTGGATGTATTTGTAATTTTTTTAAATAATTAGTTTTAATAAATTGATTTTTATTAATTAAAATTAAAAATTGTTGTATTGTCATCCAAAACAATCGTGTATAAAAATTTCAGTTCAACTGAATACTTTAACACGTGAGAAAAAACCTTTTTAAGTTTTAACACAAAACGGCAAAAGAATCGCTAAATCGCCAAAAATGATGCCAACGTGGTTGCATTTGTAATTCTTTAAATAATTAGTTTTAATCAATTAATTTTTACAATCTTTTATTTAACTTGTAATGCAAAATGTTCGGGTGGAATCTTGCAACTCAATTTTGAAGCTGATGTCTTCAACCGATTGATCTAAAATTTTGTATACACGTTCCGATATCGACCTAGTTACTGTAACGATCTTGTTTAGGTTTTAAGGCGAGCATGTTTACAATAGTACAGGAAAGGAAAGACAGATCTACAAAACTATTTACTTTGAAACATTCTAAGATACCTATTTACTCGATTCTAGTTTCTCCCGTAACACTGAAAATATACCTAGTTACTGTAACGATCTTGTTCAGGTGTTAAGGCGAACATGTTTACAATAACACAGGTGTAGACCAGAAGCATAGCTCAGATGGTACAGCGTTCGCTTAGCAGGTGATAGGTGCAGGGATTGATACATTGCGCCTTCAATTACAATTTTTTCGTTTCGTGTAAAATGTTTGATTTGTATACTACGAGATATTTTACAATACTTCTACGCTGTAAACGTACAAAGTATGTTATATTTTACAAGTTTTTATTTAACTTGCAATGTAAATTCGATGTCTTCAACCGATTGAGCTGAAATTTTGTATAGACGTTTAGTTTGGTTGACAATGCATGTGTTGACCATTTATATTCCGATATCGCATTTAGTTAAAAAAGCTAGCTGCATGGCCCGGCGTTGCACGGGCTTTCTCTACTTTTATGAATTTTCCATTTTCTTCGCAAAATCAGCACTTCTCTAATAATCTTTTTAAAAATGAATTCCACCCACCCTCTCCTCCGCTTAGGCCGATGTTGCTCGGGCTTTTACCTAGTGTATAATTTAAAATTTCCTGTTCCGAAATTTTCCCGCTTCTTTTCTTTGTCAGACAGGTTTACTGCCCCCCTCCCCGGCGTTGTACGAACATTTTTAAATGCATAACATATTGTCATGGACATTCCCCTTCCCCTGTCGCTATCAGAGCTCTCGAGAAAGTGAACACTCAACGATTCTTAAACAGCTCGACAGGTGCAGCACTCTAGTGAGAGAAATAGTAATGAATTATTGCACAAAAAAAATTCGTAAAAAAAGTTTTCGACATTTTATTTTTTAACTCACCAACTGTTAAAAGCAAAGTATGAGTTTTTTAAAAATCAATTTCATATGAACGCATCGATAGTGATTCATTTTAGAAAAAGTCATACGGAAAGTATCGTTGTTTTGAAAAAAAAGAAAAAAAAACATACTGTATCGTGACGAAATAAATCTTCTTTCCAATTTCAAAATTGCCGGCGAAGTTACTAAATGCGCGAAAAATTTTTGAGTATTTTTTAAAATAATCATAAAAACTAAGTGATGGTGTTGCTTATAACCCGGGGACAAAAGTTAATAATCCAGCGCTCTAAGCGTCCAATCCACGAAATCTTCGGGGAAAAAAGAAATAAAAGACCTGTAAAATAAGAGGAAGAGGTATTCAATTTCGCATTGCGTTATTTAAGATTTAAATTTTGGGGGCTTCAGTTTTAAGTTGCGCCTTCAAACTTCAGGTATAGACTGCAAACAACGGTAATTTTTAAATAAAAAAATGTAACAAACATAATGCTTTAATATTTATCGCAAAAAGAGGAAAAAAACGAAAAACACAATTTTTTAAAACTGTAATTTTTAAGCAATATTTTAAAACTTAGTGCATACTATAATATCGTTCTACACACAGAAAAAAAAATTTAATAAGTTTATTTTTATAAATAAAGAAATTATGAAGTATTTAAATAAAATTTTGAGTATTTTTTTAAAAATCGTAAAAAAAAAAAAAAAAAAAAAAAATTGTCATTTTATTTTTTAAATGACTGATTTTCTGAAAGAGAAAAGCATGAATTTTCTTAGATTACAATATCACTTCATTAAATTGAAAGAAAATTCAATCGGAGTGATTTAAAAATCATTTTCATAAAATCGTATCGATTTTGACTCATTTTAGAAAAAAAGCGTAAAAAAAAGAAAAGAAAATATCATTATTTTGTAAAATAAATTATACCGTATCGTGGCGAAGTAAATGATCTTTTCGATTCTGTAAATTTTTTTGCTTGAGTTTCATAAAAAATTTCTTGTCTTAAAAACGTCTGGGGTGAAAAAAAAAAGGTCGGGAAATTGGAACTTCGGCACCTGGCGGGAAAAAATGGCAATAATTATGCGTTTTAAGGTTTTTAATTAATATCTTTTTAACTAATTGTACTATTGGAATATAAGTGGTCAAAACGGTATCCTCGGATCATTTCCGATCTTTTGGTATCTTTGGCGAGTTTCTGCGTCGTGCGGTTCGTGAAAAGATCCACCTTGGCGTATAGTTGCATACGTTGTTTACCTTCGAGTTTTAGCAGTGCAGATACTAATTAAAGTAATTTTTTCGGGTGGAATCTTGCAACTCAATTTTCAAGCTGGTGTCTTCAACCGATTGAGCTGAAATTTTGTATACATGTTTAGTTTAGATGGCAATGCATGTTTTGATGATTTATATTCTAATATCGCAATTAGTTAAAAAGATATTAATTGAAAACTTTTACTCCTGGTAGCTTTTTATTCTGCCCGGCAGCTTATCGGATTGAGCTTAAAGAGAGAAGTTCCGATTCTCTCTCTCTCTCTGTCTTTGACCTTTCTTAAGAAACCATCTTATTCTTTCTCTCAAACTGAGACAAAAAATAATAGCCTAATGGGAAAGATCATTTATTTCGCTACAATACGGTATAATTTGTTAAAAAAATAATGATCTTTCTATTTTTTAGAATTTTTTCTAAAATGAGTCAAAATCGATGCGTTTTCATGAAAATGATTTCTGAATCGTTCCATATGATTTTTTTGTTTCGAGTTAATGAATCGATATTCTGCACTAAGAAAGTTCAGGCTTTTCTCTTTTTGAATTAGTCATTTGAAAAGATAATAATTTTCAAAATATACTCAAATTTTCAATAAAACATTTGAAAACTTCGTCATTTTTAAATATAGCCGCACGAAAATATTTTCTCATTTGTGGAATAGTATTATCCAAATTTTGCACAAAAATTGAAAAAATTGGTTAAAAATTACGGATTTACAAAAAAAAAAAATGTGTTTTTCGTTTTTAATATAGTATTATAGTAAAAAAAAAAAGAGAATGAGTTTTAATATTTTAATTAATTTTTCTTCGTGTAATGTTGTTTTGATCTAACAGTGTACCCCCCTTCCCACTGTTCTCTTGTTGCAGCCCGAGTGACATATCTGGCATATATATGTGGCCTCGCAGAAAAAAATGTTGATTACCCCTTAGCTGGACTGTTCAAAATTAACCGGCAAACGACCTTTCAACAATGATGCGCTGAATGAGATTAACAGACTGAGAAACCTCTGTCTAGCGATAACTAAAAAGTGAAAAAAAATGAATATATAAACAAGATCTTATTTAAATGCTCTAAAAGGAATAAAATAAATTTTTGTTTTAAAACTTTTTTTGCTATCAACACACACTTAAAAAGTCGTTATACAATTTATGATATAAAAGCTTGTCGCGAGATTTACCTGTGTACATAAACAAGCAAATTAAATAACTTGATCTGATTGATTTTAATTTTTAAAATTTTCAGACTAAGTAAAAATGAGTACTTAAATCTTGCGACAAGCTTTTATATTATAAATTGTATAACGACTTTATAAGTTGATAGCAAAACAAGTTTTAAAAGAAAAGTTTTTTTATTCCCTTAAGAGCATTTAAATAAAAGCTTATTTTTAAAAAACTTTTTTACTTTTAATTTATTAATTATTGAAGTTATACTTCTTGCTGGGTGTTTGGGAAGAAGGATGAGGACGATGCGTGCTCACACCGTCACACGCTTTGTCTAGAAATATACAGAATAGGACGCGCGGATCATTCCCGCCTCCGAAATTAAAAGTATTTATCGTCACTTCACTGAAATATGGGGCATACAGGTTTGAACTAGAAACTTCTCGATCTGCAGTTGAATGCTCTACCACTGGGCTATACCCTCGTGTCAGCGAGCGTTTGCTTTGCGTTCCGTAGGAAGGAAAACGAAAATGCTTTGCCTAGAAATATATAGAATTGGACAGATCAATTTCCCACCTTCGAAATTCTCAAAAAATTACTTCTTTACTATATTAGTTACACTTCTCTTTTTGGGAGTTAGGGAAAAAGGCTGAGGGTAAATTTTTATGATGCGCGCACACACCGTCACGAATGCACAGGCATACCTTCTAAACACTCATGCGCAGGCACACCATTGTATAATATTTTAACATGCCACTTTTTTGGTGCTATGGGACTATTTGGAGGATCTTAAAAACTATTGTTATAAACTATATCTGTCGGGACGCATTCCCCCTGTACATTCCTTCCCTCTACAGCCTTTTGGCCAATATCTCGGCACCCGAGCATCACTGTCCATTCGGACCTGGCTCATTCGATCCCTCTCTATCTGCTCTTCCAGTCATTATAATTTCATGCTTATAGGGCTATTTCTTCCATAGTTTTTAATTGTCTTAAACTTTTTAATTTTTTTTTAATTCACAATATCTTGGCTTCTATTCGAGTCTCGGAGTTGAGATTTGAACCAACTGTTCCACTCGTCGAGACTCATCCATTCATCTACTTCATTCCCATTGTGTAAGGGGGAGAGCTTCAGCACTAAAATATCATGCTCCCATTTTAATCCTATGGGGAATGGAAAAAATTTCACCCCCTAAGCAATTGAGCTTGGAACTTGATTTTTGGTGGTCCACCATATTTTCGTAATAGTGTGAGCTTTACGTGGAATTGGCACCCTCCCCCCTTACAGGGCTTCCCCAGAAATAACTTGAATCCTATGCCACCTTGGTCAACCGCACCGGCTGGTTTCTGTTGTTCTTCCTATGAGCACCCTAGATATATCTTTTCAGGACCATAGCCCCATGTCTTCACCTTAAGAGATACTATCACTAAGATATATGATGGGCCAAGGTCACCACAGAAAAACAACATCTTCAAGCGATCGTTACTTAGCATTAAACGCATGACGACAGAGGCAAGCAATGGATCTTCAACTTGCTCGTGACCTTGCTTCTGGGTCTGGAAGAAGAATTATCAGGTAAATAGTTTCAGACGTCTTGCAGAGGTAGAACTTAACACCCGCCGTCCTGACTTGTGTGGCTCTTTGAGTTCTTCGAACAATATGGACCTGCTATTGCATTGCCGAAAATATCAGTCATGGTTCCCACAAGAAGGGGGGGGGCTTGTTTTCAGTGGTGAGTCGAAGTTCACTATACATTCTCGTCGAGTCTTCATCAGGAGAGAAAGTGGAGCTCGCTTTCATCCCTCCTTCGTAACAAAAATCGACAGATTTGTTGACGAAGAAATTTTTACATAGGGTGGCATAATGTTGGGCAGACGTATGTATACCACTGTACGTCTTCTATGCAGGTACTGTAAACTTCCAGCGTTATAGGGATGTGGTCCTCCATGCCTATGCGAAACTATTCTAGGTGCTATGGACCCGGACTACATTTTTTATGGATGATAATGTGTGGTCACACAGAGTTCACATTGTTGATTAATGTCATGAAGAAAAGGATATTCACTATATGGATTGGCCCTCGAGGTCTGAATCTCAAGCCTATTGAACATATTTTGGATGATCCAAGAAGAGACATTTTCAGTGTACCCTCTCCCCTCCCAGGATCCTGCAGCAGTTAAAAGTCGCATTTTTATAAGAACGGACTTTGTTCCCGCAAGCATTTATTGACACCATCTTAAAAGGTATGACAGCTCATTGCAAAACTTGTATAACAATCTAGATGTTCGCATACCATATTGGACAGACTTTTCCCAAGGTAAATGCCTTATCTCTGATTCATTTCACACATTTTGATTTGATCTGTACCTGAATCCAAAATTAAATTCTTTTCCATATTGTTATGTTATTGTATTCTTTCTGACATTGTGATCCGTTTCGATGCAAAATTCGTCACAACACAGTAAATAATTCATTAGTTTTCCCAGATTTTATGTTTGGGGCCTTAATTTGGGACATGAGAGCATTTCAAAATTAATTGAACTAAAGAAAGATCAAATAAACTACTATTAATGACTGTTATTTTATACGAAAAAACAACATTGCGAAAATTAATACATATACCTATATATATTAAAAATATAATTTTATATTTATATTATAATTCTGTGTTTTTATTTGTTATGATCGTGATTGAAAAAAAGATGGTTGCTTCATTCATGTATTATTCTTAAGCCTGAGATATATATTCACAAAGTCACAATATGTATTGCCTTTATGTTCAGCCTTATGATTAATTAGACTTAAAGACTATATGTCCGATGAAATTTGCACATTTTATTAAAAAGTTTGAAATCTTTTTTTAATTTTTATTGATGCGAGATACGAAACACAAGCCATCGTTAAGAAAACAATTTTTATTTTTTTTAAAAAATCACATACATATAATATAATTTCTCCACATAGCAGCTAGTGGAATTCAAGTTTTAAATAGACATACATTAAAAAAACAGTGTACGACATGTAGTTTTAAAAATGTGAAGGGATTAACAAAGCTTGCGAGAATTTCTTAATTGGACGTCGTCGAAGTTGGAACACGGAGATGAGTGCTCCACGGTGCTGGCTTATACCACAGGATAATCTCCTGATTGGGTTTCAACTTCAAGTCTACTGGACCTAAATAAAAAAAATATAAGTCATTGATTTATCAACTTCCATTTTATATATACAGAAAAGAAAGAATGTATATATAATACTTTATAAATAATAGAGATGCAATATTTTCTGCATTGCTGAGATTTACATTGATTCAAGAAAATATTTTTCAAACTATTCTATTATGTAAGGAAGCAAGACATTATTTTTATTCAAAAATATTTTCTATGCTTCAATGTGAAATGTAATGTCAATGTAAATGTCTAAAATGTAAGAATTCTGGATACGGAATATCTTATTTTTAAAGAGTGCGAAGTAATGTGAATACCGCTACAATAGAAACATTTGTCGTTGTGTTGTATTTTTTTATTGCTGAACTGTTCCTTGATGGAGAACATTTCAAATATTTTTATACGCGCAGCAAAGGAGAAAAATTAATTATTTTGAATTTTGAATATACGCGATGTGCAGTGTTTATAAAAGAACGAGAAAGTGGTAGTTTACTCAAGTCAATGGCCGCGACATCGTGGTCGAAGTTGTCAAGTGGCGGGATTGAAATCCAATGCCAGTGAGAAGCCGTCATGTTTTGGGGCCGATACACGTTAAAACTATCGATGCCACAATTCACTTGTTGGCAATGTAAGATGAAGAATTCAGGAGAACGGAGGGGAGGGTGACAGCTCAAATGTCGTCTCCTCTTCGCTGGATTATTCTTCAACATTACGGAGTCAATCGCCTCAAGTTGTCGTGTTGCTTCGCTATTCAACTTAAGGTATCCGACTACATTCGGAACTGTGATTTTGCAAAAGAGTATAAATGACTAATATTTGCGATATTTAGTGTCACTTAGATCAGAATACATGCATACAATAGTTTTAAGGACATTATGAAGGGAAAAAAAGAAATTTTAAAAGACAATTAGGTTTAGAAGGAGCGTTGGAAAAAATTAGACTGTGGATATGACACACCCTGCGCGAAAAGTGCTGGATTAACTATGTTACGGCCGTGTGCGATATAGTCTATAATTACCTCAGCTCGACACCACATTCATCCTTGTATTGTTTCTATAGTCTATTATGAAGTAAGAAATTATCTTTAAGGAAACTTATTTTTCGTTTCCATCATTTATATAAAATAGAAAAAGTCGCCCAACCGGTATAGTGGTTAGCGACGCTGACTGCGATGCCGTAGAGACTGGGTTCGAATCCCAGAGAAGACATGGATGTTTGTAAATGTGTAGTGTCTTTGCGGCAGGGGGTACTCTAAATAGTCGTCGAGCCGCAAGTCCTCTCGAGTGGTTGGTAGAAGAGGAAGAGAGGGGGAGACCCTTGACCATCACCAGGGTTTCCTCACTCTGAATTGGGGTGGAACCGAGCAAAAACGTACTGTTACCTGCATGGTGCTTAAGACTAAGGCTAATTCTAACCCTTAGCCACGATGAATTTTGCAGGCCTCGACCTGACTTCGTCAGGCAGGTGGCATAAGTCACAACAACAACAAAATAGAAGAATGTCGCCCATCCGGTATAGTTGTTGGCGACGCTGACTGCTGTGCCGTAGAGTCTGGGTTCGAATCCTGGAGAAGACATGGATGTTTGTTAATTTATAGTGCCTTCACGACATGGGGGTACTCTAAACAGCCGTCGAACTGCAAGTCCTCTCATAAGGTTGGTGGAAGGGGAAGAGAGGTGAGAGGCCTCTGACCCCCCAGGGTGTTCTCCCTCTAAATTGGGGTGGAATTGAGCCAAATCGTACTGTCACCTGCATGGTGCTCAAAGCTACGGCTAACGACAGGCGTCACTTAGTCCAGAGTTTCTCAAACTGTGGAGCGTGCCCCCTTGGGGGCGTGATAACTCTAAGAGGGGGGCACGAGCATATTGAAAAGTAGAAAACAATGAGATATTTAAAAAATTATTAATTTACTGAAAGTAAACAAACAAAATACTTTATGATGTAATAAAATATAGAATACACATTTACACAGATAGAGCACACTTATAAATGTTACAGTACTGTACAATGTATATTTTATTATTAATTTAACAGTACTAAGCTAAGAACAAGTTTAATAATTATCAGTGACCCCCCATGGGCTTGTATTTACACTTATCTTGGTAATTTATACGGTTTATAATTAATTTCTTTACTGCCGATTAAAAGTTACGCGATTCGCTCCCTAATGCCACCGTTTACCCCCTAGACGAGGGTATTTTGATGTTTTTTGTGGGAAGGGGGAGAAAAAAAAAGAAAGAAGCAAATCCTGTGAAATAAGTAAATCCTTCGCAAACACTGTCAAGGTCGTTTTAAGGCATTCCAAAGCCTTCGGGATAA